GTACAAACTCCAAAACACGTACAAACTCCAAAACACGTACAAACTCCGAAGCATGTACAAACTCCAAAACCGTACAAACTCCAAAACCGTACAAACTCCGAAGCATGTACAAACTCCAAAACACGTACAAACTCCGAAGCACGTACAAACTCCAATACACGTACAAACTCTAAAACGCGTACAAACTCAGAAGGACGTACAAACTCTAGAACACATAAAAAACACAACGGAAGTGCTCCAGGATGCTAGGCGCAGTGTTGAGCTTTTGTTACCTAGTGGCTACACAAGCCAGGAAGTACCAACGACTGGATTTGGTGTGTGGTAGTAACAGGTAAATGAACACTTTTTAAAAATTATTTGAATATATATGAGTGCTTGTGTATAAATTAGAGATGGCACGATACCACTTTTTTATGTCCAATACCGATATCATAAATTTGGATATCTGCCAATACGATATCAATCCGATATATCTATTTTTTAAACTGTTTTTGTATAAGTCAAATTTAAAAAGACAACGCACTAAAGCTATTCTCTTATACTTGCATGCAAGAAAAAGACTGCACCCAAAATATTGCTCACTTCAACAATGCATATCTCTTTATTTAAACTTTAGCACTGTTTAGCTGTCACCACTATCAAAACATCCATCCTGAAAGTGCGCAACATTATGCAGAACTTTAAATCTAGAAGTATTTAAAATAACATTCATCTAAATAAAAGTGCACCATTATACAGAACTTTAAATCTAGAAGTATTTAAAGTAAAATTCAAGTAAATAAAAGTGCAACATTATACAGAACTTTAAATCTAGAAGTATTTAAAGTAACATTCATGTAAATAAAAGTGCAACTTTATGCAGAACTTTAAATGTCGAAGTATTTAAAGTAAAATTCAAGTAAATAAAAGTGCAACTTCGCAAATTTGAAAACCCCTTTGGTACTGACAAAAGGTGCAATTTTATCAGACAAAGCAATTGCTCTCCAAACCCTAAAAAACACCCCCCCAACAACATTCTTGTAATAATGCATTTGTAACTTTTTTTTTTCACTCTAACATGAGAGGTAGGTTCTTCTTCAGAAAGATCACCATATCAACCTTCTCAGCTGTCAGCCTGCTTCTCCTTTCATTAATGATAATGGAGGCTGTACTGAAGAGTCTCTCGCT